TATGATGGACCTCACAGACAGAATGTCCACAAAATGAACCAGACATAATGAGGTACATAACAAGGTACATGCTGAACAATTCCACTTACATAGAATTCAAGAATAGATAAGCAAAACTAAGTAGAGTAAAAGGAAGGAGATCAACAAATGTGCAGTGGGGGAGGGAGGGAATGGGAAGGAGATGAAGAAAGCAATTAAGATGTTTTATGTATAGGTACTCCACACAAGTAATGTAAACATGATGAACTGCACATGTACTAATGTACCTTAAAATAAACAAATAAAGTAAAAAAGGCAAAGTAAATTGACAGTGATAGAAATCAGAGCAGTGGTTACCTCTGGAGGTGTGACTGTATGGGAGGTGGGCATGAAGGCTTAAGTGGTGATTATAAGGGTATACACATTTGTCAAAATCATGGAAATATACACTTAATACTAATGGTACATCTTAGTGCATGTAATTTAACACTTCATCAAAAAAAATAAACTAGGCACAGTACCTTGCGACAAAGTCCTAAGTAATCCGGAGGCTAAGGCTGGAGAACTGCTTGAGCCTAGTAGTTTGGTTGCAGGTTGTACAACATAGTTAGATCTCAGCTCTAGAAGGAGAGAGAGACAGAGAGACAGAGTGACAGAATATGAATGAAAGAGGGATAAGAAGGGAAGGAGGGAGAGAGGAATTAAAAGCAATGATGTCTTCATGGACAGCCCACTCTTCTACTCAAAAGCCTCTCTGCACTTCCCTAGTGGTATGATCTGCTGAGGGGCAATGTTGTGTGCGCCTGAAAGAGCTAGCAGATCTGGGAGGGAAGCCAACCTCTGGTACTTACAGGCATTATGATCTGTGCTTCTACTTTCTCATCTGTAAAATGTGGATCATAACAACAGTAACTACTTCTCAGAGCTGATTTGTCATGAAGCTGAGATAACATATGCTAAGTGTTTGACCATTTAATTGTGTTTCATTAACCTTATATTTTTCTGCTATAGTAACTATAAATATACTGGTTTTCAAACTTGATTTTAAAAAGTTCTGATTTGTTGGGGTTTGGTTCTTAAAAATCCGTCAAAGACCATGTGCTAAAGGTTTAGTGACCAACCCTTAGTGCTGTTAGGAGCTAGTAGAGTTTTGTTTTTAGTTTTTGTTTATTTTTTGCTGTTTTGAGACAGAACCTTACTATGTAGTTCAGGCTGGCCTTGAACTCATGATAATCTTCCGGGCTCAGCCTCCAGCATTTTGGTTTCATGGGCATGTGCCACCACATCTGCCAGAGCTGATAGAATCTTTACTAGGTGGGGCTTAGTGGGAAAGCCTTAATCACTAGTGGCACACTCTGGAAGGGGATATTGGAATTCTGACCAGTACTCCTTTTCCTGGTGTCATGAGATAAGCAGCTTTCTTCTACCACGTTCTCCCTACCATGATGGTCTGCCTCACCACAGGCCCACCGTGATGGGGTCAAGGGACCAGGGACAGAAATCTCTGAAACTGGGCTGAAATAACCCTCTCGTCTTTTAAAGTTGATTTTCTCAGGTATTTTACGAGAGATGAAAACCTTGCTAACACACCATCTTGTTCTGCTTCCGCAGTTTCTAATTATATTTCTCTGGGGTAGGGCTTAAAACTCAGTAGTTTAAAAAGCTGCCCAAAGCTGATGATCCCTAAGTTAGATTTACATCCTCATTCAAATGCTGCCTATTCCTCCATGTAGATTTTCAGTGGTAATTCCAGGTCTTAGTGTTTCTCTTCCCCACACTCTTTAAAATTGAAGTTTAACTGCCATACAGTACAATGTTCAAGCCTAAAGTGCCCAGCTCTCTAAATGTTTCTATATAGAGAAACACCCATATAACACCCCCCCAGGCCAAGACACTGAGTGCTGCCATCACCACAGGAGGCTTCCTTCCACTTCCTGCCAGTATCTTTCAAGAGTGCTGGCTATGCTGAGCTTTCTCCCAAACGAAAATGACTTTCTTTTGAGTTGAACTACTCTTGAATTCTTGCTCCTTATGCCATGTAGCTCATGGGTACAAACAAAATTCACTCATCTGTTTGGCTTTCATTTATACTTTCCTCATGTATGGATATTGAACCTTTCTTCTTCTTTTTGATTCTTCTCCCTGAGGCGAATTTAAACTCCTTCAGGACAGGAATTGCCCACAGGTTTAGCACATGTTTATGCACATAATAGAGGCTGAGTAATGGAATGATCCCAGTGCTGAAAGAATGGGAGAGGAGATACAGTTAGCAGACAGATTAAAACAGAGGCATTTCTCTCTTCACTGTCTTCCATATACTTGCAGTGTATTTTCACCAATAACAATTCATATAATATGGGGTTTGCTCATTTTTTGCCCGTGAGAGATAATGCATACATTTGATTTTCAGGTTGCAATGTGGACAGAAGAGCAGGCGTGTTGGAGGAGAAAAAGTTAGATTCAAAATCAAAGAGAGATTTCTCTAGCTCATACTGTTGAAAGAATCCTGGACTGGGAGTTAGAACCCTAAATTCTAGTCCCCATTCTACCAACAACTTGTATGATCTTAGGTAGGTCACTCCAGTTTTCAGAGCCTCAAACTGCTTGAGGTACAACAGAAGCAATTATTTCTATTTCTCACTCCACAGGTCAGCTGGGCTCATAACTGGGAAGGCACTTTAGCTGAAAGAATTAGGGATTCTTTCAACATGCAGAGAGGTGACTTATATTACCAAGTTAGGTAGATAGGGATGTGTTAATAGTTTGACAAAATTTGGATGAAAATGCCCCTTCATTTTGCTTAAGAAAGTATCCTCAAGGTCTCACCAAACTGACCCTAGATTTGAGGATCTTTCTTTCTTTCTTTCTTTCTTTCTTTCTTTCTTTCTTTCTTTCTTTCTTTCTTTCTTCCTTCCTTCCTTCCTTCCTTCCTTCCTTCCTTCCTTCCTTCCTTTCAGTACTGAGGATTGAATCCAGGGCCTTGCTCTTAGCTACATACCTACAGATTTTTGAACGGTTTTGAGATACAGACTTGGGAAATTGCTAATGGTAGGGTCAAACCCAATATGCTGCTGCTTCAGCTTCATAGATTGCTGAGATTACAGGCACGTACCTCTGTGCCTGGCATCTAGGTTCCTTTCTTACCTGGTACAACATGGCACTCATTAAAAAGCAGTTTGTTTGCTCTTGTTTATATTTGAAGATAAGAAAGCTCTGGCCTGTGCCTCAGCAAAGACATAATCTGGGTATTTTTCTGAAGTTTTTATTATGTAAATTTAGACACACCATTTCAGCTAAGTTCTTTTACCTATGTGGACAAAGATCTCTTATTGTCTGTGTAGTGCTTACTATGTGTTTGCCATTCCAGTAGGTGCTATGGAGCCTTTACCAAGATTAAGACCCTTCTCCTGCTCTCAAAATCTGGGTGTGGGAGGCAGTCTTCACAAGGAGAAAAAAATGGCAGGCAGTATGTGATTCACAATAAAATGAGTAGTGGAGGCAGTACATGCTGTAGAAGTTTGGAGGAGTGAAAGAGCTGTAGGAGCTGGGTGTTAGGGCCTTAGGGGGAATTCCAGTTCCTGTGGGCTCTGCAGGATGCACAGGGTTGTTTACGCAGATGTGGGGGAGTACAATGAATTGAGTGTATACCTGTCTTTGGGGAAACACATGCAAATGCACAGATGGGTTACAACAGGTACTAGTGCTTTCTACTATTTCCTGCCTAACATTCTTAAATATTGAAGTCAAAACTCAAGTGTATAACCCTAGAAATTAAAAGATAGTATATTTCAATTAATAGACAGGAAATTGAGAACCAGAGAGGTAGAGTAAATTGCCCAAGGTGACATGTCAAGTAACTGACACTGTTGGGATTAGAATCAGATCCTAAAACCATTTTGGTGTTTTATCTAGAAAATGAGAAATTTGTGACTCAGGTAAGGACATTGGCCTGGTTAGAGTTATTGAAGACAGTTATTTAGCGAACACAAGAGTAGCTATGCCAAATTCTCAACCAAAGTTCAGTGTGGAAATTGGAGGGATTAATGAAGCCATTTACCTCGTGCTGTACCCTTATTCTTAGTTCTTTGACCATAGGAACTTGAGGTCTCTGGATGTTTCCTGACCTTGTCAGGGCCTTCCTCCCTTTACCCTAAATGTTCTTAATTATGTTGTTGAGGATTTCTCAAACCACCAATGGAGAATGAGTGATCCCCTGACTTTTGTTTTAATTACAACTTGAAAAGTATCATGCCTATGGTCCATGCAGCACAAATCTTGGATGAGGCAGACTACCTCGCTATACCAGACAATTGTATTTTCAGTAGATAGACTGTGTTTTATGCTTTGAGTCTGGTTTGCAGCCAACGTGTCTTTCCTAGGGAAGGTGGCTGTTCTTTGGATACTCTTCCAACTCATTATTAGTTTACAATAAATACAAAATCAATATGAGAGAGATTTGGAAGTGGTCCTTTTCCTATTCTCTGGTCCTCAGAAATCTGCATATGGGCAATGGGTAGAAAGCAGTAGTGCAGAAAGGACTCTGCCCCTTCACACCCAGGGTGGCCAGGCCTGTCTTCCTTCCCATCCAGTAGATTAGGAAGCAGCTGCTCTTCTGCAGGGAGGGAGGAGGGAAAAAGGTCAGGGGCAGCTTTTCTTCCTGCTGGTCTCCCAGGAAGGGAAGGGAGTCTGAAGAGAAGGGAGAGGGATTGTGTGGGAGAGGTACAATTTAAAAACCACTGGGAGTCAGAGGGAGGAGTGGTCCTGGGGTGGGGAAGTCTCAGTACTAGGCACAAAAGTGGGGGTTGTGGCTGTAGCTAGGAAGGTGGGAGAAACCTACCATTGTTGTTGTAACAATCTGTTTTACAGCAGGTGGGAAGAGAAGGCCATACTCAGCATACCCCTAAAGTCAAGCTGGCCCAGCTTGACAGTTTTAGTCATTCCACAAGAAATTAGTGAGGGCCGGCCGCGTGCTCCTTCTCCGAAGTGCCCTGGAACACGAGTCGCAGGAAGTGGAGTCAGGCAGCGAGGCTTCCAGGAGGAGGCGAATTCAGTACATGCTTGTGAAGGAGGGCTGATGTGCACCCGTGCAGGCTCCACAAACGCAGAAGACTAGGCAGGCTGGGAGGAGGAGGAAGGGGGCGGAGATTGAGCCACAGGAGAGGCGGAGAACCCAGATGAGGCACCGTAGGTGTGAATGGTGGAGGGGGCTGCGGGAGGCTGAAGAGGAAAGGAGGCAGGGCAGGGGAGCGGTGGCCCAAGGACGTGGTGGGGTCGAGAAGCTGAACTGGATGGGAGGAGGGACGCAGGACGAGGGAGGCGGTGGCGGCGGCGAGGGGGAGGAGAGAAGGAGGGGAAGGAGGAAGCCAGCGCGCCTGCTGCAGGGAAGGAGGAGCTCTTCGCCCAGGCACCGCCGGTAGCTGCGGCCGCCAGGGAGCGAAGCGCTGGGCGCTGGGCGTGGGGAGTGCGGGAGCGTAGCGTTCGCCCGAGCCGGGGCCAGAAGCAGAGCTGCAGGTGAGTGAAATCCCCAAGGGGCGCGGCGACCCGTCCCCGGGGCAGAGCAGGAGGCGTGGGAGAAGTGCCTGCCCGGGTCGGAGGGAGGTGGCGGGCTGTAGCCCAGCCCCTGACTGGCCCGGCCTCCCGCCCTCCCTCTCGGCTTCCTCCCGCCGTTGCCCGCGCGAGGGGGGCTGGTCCCGGGCTGGCTGCGGGCTGAGGGTGGCGCTGCCGGGAGGGAAGGCGGGTGACTAGGGCTGGGGGTGGAGCTGAGGGACTCCGGGGTGTACCCGGGGGCGGGAGGCTGGACCGGGACGGCTCTAAATTGGCTGGAGGGGCCGTTGGTGGCGAAGTTGTTAGCTGGGGCAGAGACGGCCACGCGGTTGCACGAGTAAGAGATCCCCCTGTGGAGTGCGTGAGACGAGGAGTCCGGCGTCCCTGCCATCCCCGTCGCCCTCCCCGCCTTCCCGGCCCTGCTCTCACCCCCTTTGTACCCCCGGTTCGCTTCCGCGGCATTGCAGGGTCCCCTGAACCCCCATCTGACCCTCTCGGCCTCCTGCTTCCCCTGACTCCTGCTTGCTTCGCCGCTGCCCCGTTCCTCTTTTCTTCCCTGCTAGTTACCCCTCCCCGCTTCGTTAATTCCCGATGCAATTGCCTCTTTGAGACCTGTTTTTCCTCTCCTTCCTTTTAGATTGGCCAACGGCTCCTTTCAACCCTGCCTCGTTGGTGGCCACTGGAGAAGCGCGGGGGGCTCCCCAGGCAGCCGTGGGGACAAGTTAGAGCCAGCACTTTACCCCGGGCCTCGCGTGTAGCTTCCTGTCCCCCGTTCTAGGTGCCCCAGTGTCTGGAGGGGGGTGTGGGAGTGTTCCCTCCTTACATGTTCTACCACCCAGGCAACCCTCTGGGGTCCTGTTCCACCTCGCTCTTGCTTCCTGCACAGTGGTCAAGAGGAACCACTTTATATCATGTCCCGGTACAGCTACCAAAGTCTCCTGGACTGGCTCTATGGGGGCGTGGACCCCAGTTTCGCAGGCAATGGGGGCCCGGACTGTGCTGCCTTCCTCTCTTGGCAGCAGCGGCTGCTGGAAAGTGTGGTGGTCCTGACCCTGGCCCTGTTGGAGATCCTGGTGGCCCTGCGGTTCATCCTGAGGCAGACGGAGAATGGTAGGGGTGGCCGTGGCAGCCAGCCACAGCAGGTGACCCAGCGGCCAGAGGAAGGCAAGGAGAGCCTGAGCAAGAATCTGCTCTTAGTAGCCCTGTGCCTGACCTTCGGGGTGGAGGTGGGCTTTAAGTTCGCCACCAGGACCGTCATCTACCTGCTCAACCCCTGTCATCTGGTCACCATGATGCATGTGAGTCTGTTGACTTTTTCCTGGGCAGCCTAAGTGATAAGACTCATTTGGGTGCTCAGGACATGGGTAGTGTAAGGCACCCCTATCCCTGTGGGAAGTGGGAGTCTTAAAAATATTTTTCCAGTGTTTGGCTGTGTTTGTACCAATTTCAAATTTGGGGTTTTTCATGTTTTCCTGATGTATCGGCCCCACAGTGGAGGCAAGGAAACTTGTACCCAAACCCTAGAAATGAGTGGCACTCAGGCCAGCCGCCCCTCCCTTCCCAGCCCTGCCCTGCCCTACCCTGCCCTGCCCTGTTCTGTCCTGGCCTTTCACAAGCAGGAAGTCCAGCCCCAGCCAGGTGCCCTTGCCTTATCGGTGGTCTGTGGCCCAGCCATCTTCCCTTTTGCAGTAATTTTGCAGGGGCCTAGTGACCCCTCTTTCCTGGAGGTAGTCAAGTAAGATTCCTCGTCTCCACTGTGGTACTTTGGGGAAGTACTTTTAGGGGTTTCTCTTAATGACACTTTCATTTGGGAACCTATGCTCTGGGGAAGAGATATGTCTAAGAGTTCGAGTCCCTGCAATGCCCATAAGCTCCTACTAAGTGCTCTCTAAACCAGGCCTCATACTGACTCATGAACTTTGGATTTGTGATCTCCATCTATGGTGACAGAGTCTTTACTTTTTTTTCTTCCTTCCTTTCTTTTTTTTTTTTACTTTTTGCATCTTTAACTCATTCTTTCTCCAGGGATCATGGTCCATGGGTCCTCAGAAAGCTGATTTTTTTTAACCTTCCCAATTTCCTTGCATTAGGAATACTTAAGGAAAAGAAGTGGGATGGAATAGAAAAGTTGCCAGGTGCATAAAAATAATCTGAGTGAGGACCAAGGATGAGACTGTCTTTCTATACTGAGCCTGTACAGAGAGATGTTTTTTTTTTTTTTTTTTTTTTTTTTTTTTTTTTTTTTTTTGAGACAGGGTCTCACTTTGCAGTTCAGGCTGGCCTTGAACTCACTTTGTAGCCCAGGCTGGCCTTAACTCACAGTGATCCACCTGCCTCAGCCTGTGGAATGCTGGGATTGCAGGCATGTGCCACCATGTCCAGCTAGAGAGATGTTGTGAAGCTGTAAAATCATGGAAGAGGAAGGGGACAAGGGGAAAGCAGTCATTTAGATTTCAGACTGTGGAAGGCTGGTATGTTTTTAGGGGCAGTTTTGAAACCTACATTTAACATTTTTATTGTTCTATATTTGTAGATGGTTATTCTTAAGAGACTTATGATGACCCTGTATGGGGCAAGAGGTTGAGACTATTATTTTCCATTTTGTGGCACTGGTAGTGTTAGGGATGGAAGGTCACTTTCCTGTAGCCAAAAGATGAATTAGCATCTGAGATGGAAAACAAACCCACCCTTTTTTGGAGTTGCAAGCTGTCAGTCCCAAAGTGGGGGTGGCAGTGAGTGGTGACGCTGACCTATGGGAAGGCCAAGCAGATGAGCATGATGCTTACTTGCTTGCTCTGTGTTCTTAGGAACTGATGGGATTGTATATTTCTAGCCTCTTTCCCAATCCTCAAAATGTGGTGAATGACCTGTGGCCCATTCCTGTCTTGCAGATCTGGCAAAGAGGTGTTTGTAGCTTTGGAATAAGGAGACTATTACTGATTGAATGGCTAAAACATGGAAGGGAACATTTTACTCAGAGAGGACTTTTTTGGGAAGTGATGCCATTCACAGGAAGTCCAGGGCTGTCCCAGCTAGACCTTCTGTGTAAATTTGAACCAGTCCTCTTTCTTTCTTTTTATGAATGGGCTTTTTGTTAATGAGAGGAAACAACACATCTCAGCTACTGCTGTGTGAGGCTGTCAGGACAGGAGTGCTTTTTTAGGATGGCAGGTGTTGAGGGTCAGAGAGTGCCTCTTCTACAAAGGGGTCTTCAGGTCTCTGGCAACCAGATATTTAGAAGGTCAACAAAGGACTAAATTCAGCCTCACTGGGCCTGCTTCTCTTATGATAAGGTCAAACCTGGCAGCACCATGGGTTTTAGGTAGAAGATATTTAGAGGCGTTTAGAAGACTTGGGAGACCTAGCTTCAGCATTTATTAGTTATATAGAAAGTACTTTTCTTGGGCCTCAGTTTGCTTATCTGTAAAATGGGCAGAGTTGCACTCATAGCTCTTGACAAACTATGTTCAGTGATTCTTTTCTCCATATGTAGTGGGAGGGGGTGCAACACAGAACTGTTCAGAAAGGCTTCTAATCTCCTTGTCCAGATAAGGAAAACTAGTTTATTCTCTGTGGATGTCAGGGTAAGCAATCTGTGTTCTTTTCCTCCATGTGTTTTCCTTTTTGAAGTAAACTCAACCAGATCACCAATAGGGACACTTATAGAAGATGATGGCACCTGAGGAAGAGACGGATGTTTAGAGACTATGGTCTGAATCCTGTCACCTGTGATATTTTTAGTGTTTTTCACATAAACGCTGAGGCTGTAAGATGGGGGTGGAGAACAGAGTCATGCTGAGGAATTTTTTGAGTCCCACTAGGATTATTCTCCTTTGCTATTTACCCCTAAATCACTGCTTTGTATCATTTAAATGGAAACCTCTGGCCTTATTGTTCATAAGGAACTATCACAAACATTATCTTATTTAGTTAGGGTTATGGTAGATCGCTTTAGGCCTAGATGAAGAAATGTTAAAATATTTCCCATGACCATTTCCAAAGAGGAGACACTATGTATAAAAAATGCTTTGGTAAGTGACTTATGTAAATTAAGCTGTATTATAGCAGAACATTCTGAGGCTTAAGAAAAGGGAGATGTTAGCTGCACTGAAAGGACTATCTTAGCAAGAGCTATTTCTGATGTGTCTCCCTCAGCTGGATGACTGAGTTTCGCTTTGCAGAAATGCCTCTTCCTCAAAGTCAGTGCAAGATAATAACAAGAGCAGTAATGCTTTAGGCCAGCAAGAGAGGAGTTGGAGGGAAACAGGTTAGTTCCCCTATTTCCCCTTTTTCAGTCTGTGAGGAATTCATTCTAAATGCCTTGTTACACAAACGCCTGTCATAGCACGGTGCCTTTGCGTGTTTGCCAACTGTAGTAGCATAAAGAAGGGTAGCACTTGCGTCTGAATTATTCTGTTCTTGCTTACTACTGTTGGGTTTCTTTTTGGTCTTACCTGATTTCCCAGAGGTTCTGGGACTGTAGACTGGTACTAATTCAGCAGACAGTAGGACTGAAGTACCACCATCTGACAGGTCAGCTCTGGCCTAAAATGTTTGGGCCAGAGTATATGCCATTCTACACTTTTGAGCAAGCACTAAGGTTAGTATACCACTATTGAACCCCTTGCTAAATATCAGTGGTGACTGTCAGTTATACCAATAGATATTTCTTCAAGTGTGGCCAGTCCTCTTTTCCTTGTGATTTTTGGCAGGTATGGGTAACAGGAATGTATTTCCTATGTGATTATGCTGTTCACTAAAAAGCTTCCAGCAATTCATTGGTAGAAATGTTTTTTATACATGAACACTGGAAATCAAGGCTTAGCAGGAAGATATTCTCATAGCTGTTAAAGTCCTCAAAATCTGCAATCTCTTAGCAGAAGGGTTAAAATGATAGTTTGGCTTATTGTAAAGTTGGATGATCTTCAATTAGTAGATCTTCCTTGAATCCAGTTATGTTGTGTTTGTCTTAAGAATTGAATGCATATATCATATTTTTCATGTCTTGTTTAGTTGTCCAGTTCCTATCGGTTCTATGTATATGTACCAACACCTGATTAAGCACAAACTTAGTGGTCACAGTATATACATTCAGTGTCTACATAAAGCAGTGTGCATTGAAGCTGAACGTTTGGTAAATAATAATTGATGCTGTTGACCATTTAGCTAAAAGTCACTAACTTTTTTGACAGTAATACTGAATGAGCTCGATTCCTTTATAGAGTTGCCATTGCTATTTGACTTTCTGTCTTGTATATATATGAAAAATTTGATATCCACCAAATACAGCTTACTTGATTTGAATTCACCAGCTTCTGCTGTCCTTCTTAAAAGGGTAGAGTGGCATATACTAAAAAATTCCTGAGCTACTGGTAACCTTTTTTGTAATGCATTGAATACACAGTGATGAATTCAAGTTACTATGTGATGGATTTGTTTTAGAGAAAACCTAGTGTAATTGAGAACTTATCTTTCTGTTTTTCCCCCTTGACTTCAGACCAGACACACCTCCTCATTCCCCATCTGTTGTCTGGAGTGCTGATTACTATTCCTGCTTGGAATTGCTGTTGGTGGGTAATGGGTACAATGAGGGATCCAGCCATCTGCTGGAAGTTTATCAGATGGACTGTGTCTTGTGTCAACATTCCAGGGGGACTCAAGAGGATGATGTTTATGTGGGCCTCAGCAGTGAGGCATGACATTCCTCTTTACCTTGCTTTATTTCTTACTTCAAAGGATATTTGCAGAGAATTTTCCCATCATTCATTGCTACAGTCTTTCTGGGACATCTGTCATAAAGAGAGTTGGTTTGGATTGGTGGATTCAACAGTTCACAGACAACACTGGGATTTAAAATAATGATGCTTATCTTGCTCATGGCCTGCTTCGGGAACCTGAGAAAATTATTTAACTTTTTTCTATTCCAGTTGTCTGTGTGAAATGGGCCACATGGAAACAAAACATTTTAATCCTCTGAATAACTATGGGATCACTTAGAGAAGCTGAGCAAAGCTGAACAAAACTGGCAGATGACTAATAACATTGTACTTTAAACTCAAAAACTGACAAGCCTTACCGCCTTTTGCCTTTCTTTATACCTACTGGAAATCATTGTGCTAATCATTTCTATTGCTTTTCTCTGGATCCCTGCCCCTACTTACATACCCTTGTAATAAACTACAAGCAAACTGGATTTGTAACTCGTACCAGGGGTGTAGCTCATACCAAGCCAAGAGGAAAGCTCTCTTCACAGTCTTTCCATGCCAAACACCAGGTATTACAACCTGGCATTACATGT